CTTGAAAACGGTTCAACTTTATAGGCCCAAACAATTATCTTCTGTTTTATCATAAAACAGGCTATGTTACCTCCAAATTTCAAACCCCTACGACATTTTTTCGCAAAAATAAGATTAAAAAACGAAATAAACAGTTTTTCCGGTTTTTCTAGGAAAATTGGAGGTTATGTGAAAATAGTGCAGATACAAAAGTTGCTCATTTTTTTAATCTCTATAACTTTTACATTTAACATTTTCGTTTAAAATCAATAGTTTTACCACAATTTGCAAAATACCACTTTCCAACCCTTTCAACCCCCGTGATTTCACCCGCGGAAAAATTCAGCTGTTTTCCCAAATTCTATTCATTCCACCTGCCTGAAAAACCCGGTTTCGCCCGGTAACTAATTTTTTTCATACAAAAATATTATATAGCCTGGACTAGATACTATTATACTATCTGGCATAGGTTTGAATAGTTAAATTCTAAGTTGAGGTGGCCATTTCTTTTACTAATGCTAAAATGGCCCAATAGTTTGGGATTGAAATGCTAATAATTTACACTTCAAGCTGATTTTGTTTCACAGTGACATTAAATTATGAAAGACCCGTGAATTTGGTTCCATTTATAATGAGATTTAAATGGAGTTCGATTTGATTCCACAAAACAAAAAGTCTGAAAAGACTGGTCACAAATTCGGGGGTTTCTTTTGATAAAACAGCAGTTTTACATAATTTTCAATAATCTCATAATCTCCGATTTAACTCTCGCTCTAACCAGCTCTACTATCGCTAAGCGAATCCTTAATTTTGTGCAAAACTCATTCCCTCTCTCTATACTAAGTTAACTTAAAATGTCTTATTATTTCATGGTGGAAAGCAATGTCGGTGATATTTCCTTAATTTTCGTTGGTTCGTTAACTTCACGAGCTACAGAAAAGCTGACTTAACAGAGTTGTACTTATTCTTTTCTCAAGAAAGTTAATTCGCATCATCTTTTTAGCATGTAAAACGATACAAAGTCCCAAAAATGGGGCGCCCAATACGATTTAAATCAAAGACGTTACTGATAGATATGACGTAGATGACATAAAAAGCTCGCCGTATTCCAGTCGTCAAAATAAAAACTTAAACTTGACATAGTGAATATTTGTTTTGTTGAATGTTTACTGAATCCTTGACACCTTTTAAACTAAGAAATTATCCTTCCGCATATTTCAATGGAAAAAATCGCAAAAAGTTTACGCAAAATAATCGCTCTCGTTACACCCTGCAACTGGAGACATTTCTTTTGGAATCGACATATCAAACTGATTACAGGACAACAAACGTTGTCATTCATGTTCTACGGTTTCTTTAAAACATTTGGCTCTAAAAGGGGACCGCTCAATTTTTGATCGCGAAAAATCTACGGGTCAAGATCACAGTTTTCAATCTGATCCGGCTGTTCCGCCTGTGTCTAAAATTAAACAAGTTAAAAAGTAATCGTAAACGATTTACATAAAGCGCATTTCCACTTGCATTCATTTCCCATTTGTAAGATGCAACTTCTGTTAAAATCGTAAAAATCCGGCTACAAATATGAAAGATAGCGTTGCACATGGGCAATCCATTTTTGACGTGCTACTTCAATTTCAGTTTATGAGAAGAATTTCAATTCAATGCTTTTCTAAATAAGAAAGTTGGAACTGCGCATGCGCAAACCTAAATTTTGAAACTAATGTTAGATTTTCCTTTGTTCCAAGCGCCTAAGTATCAAATTTCACTTAAATGGTTCCATAGATAAAAAAGTTGGCACTGCGCATGCGCAAAATATAATTTTGAAACTGGCGCTAGATTTTCCTTTATTCCAAGTGCCTATGTATCACATTTCATTTAAATTCTTCCATAAATAAAAGAGTTGGCACTGCGCATGCGCAAAACCAAATTTTGAAATTGGCGTTTGATTTTCCTTTATCCCAAATGCCTATGTATCAAATTTCGTTTAAATTCTTCCATAAATAAAAAAGTTGGCACTGCGCATGCGCAAAACCAAATTTTGAAACTGGCGTTTGATTTTCCTTTATTCCATGTAAAAGTAGAACAATAACTCTTAAGATAAAGAACTAGTAGCGTCGCAAAACGAGCGGACGGACGGACGGACGGACAAAGTGGCCACAATAGCGCATTTTTTTTTTATTTTTGTGGAAATGCGCTAAAAAAACTAATGCACGTAGAAGACGTGAAAAACGCCCTTGAGTATTTTTTATTATCCGCACAAGCAAAAAATAATGGCAAGTTTTAAAACTAACAAATAATAACTTTATAGATATAGTCCTTCTTCATCGAGATAATCAAAAACATGGATTGGTGTGCGTTCACGTTCAAAACTAACCCAAAATTCATCTTGCAAATCGTCATCACCTCTTTCAAGACACTGGTCTGGTTTAGTCTTTGGGTATATACACACGGAACCGGACTGTTGCAATTCCCTCTGCGGAAGAGTTATATCAAAGGCGTCACTCCATTTTACTATTTTATCCAGGCATGCGCATTGTAGAGGATTATCGGCTATGGTAAATTTAGATAATTTGGGTCGTATCACGTCCAGAATTTCATCAGATATATACGTTATGTTGTTATTCTCAATAACAACACTCATCAGTTTCGAAGGGGTGTGGAAATTAAAGTCAAAACTTTTTAATTTGTTACCAGCCATATTCAAAAATTTCAAATTTCTTAATCCTTTAAAGGCATCTTTGTCGACAAACTCTAATTCATTTCTAGCGAATCCCAGTTCCTTAATAGATGGCAGATTGATAAAGGCACCTCGTGGAATCTTCCGCAGGCGATTCTGTCCCAATTTTAAAGCTTGAAGAGCTGGCGTGTTAAAAAACCAAGATTGGTCAAAGTTTTCGAGCTGATTTCCGAAAAAAGACACCGAATCTAAGTTTGGAAGATTACTAAAAGCACGTGGCAATACATCGGTGATCTTGTTATGGTCTAGGTGCACTTCATTTAACAACGGTAAATCTTGAAATGCGTTTTCACTAATCCAGGAGAGTTCGTTGTCCCACAAAGTTATTCGAATAAGTTGGGGAAGATCCAAAAAGGCACCTTGTCTGATAATCTCGATGCTGGTGTTGAGAAAGTCGATACGAAAGCTGCTTGAAATTCCCTGAACTGCGCCGTAATTTAAATCTTGAATATCTTGATTTTCTGCTAGTATGTAGGAAATTTTACCTTCAGCTCGAATGGTGTCAGGCGAGATACAACCACTTATTGTTCGACTCTCACCATCTACCTTCACTATGTTGTTTTTAAAGCTAGGTAGTGTACATTGCATCGATATTTTCAGTAGCAACAGTATCATGCATGTTTTGATCATGGTGAAGCACTTCTGACGATACGTGAGTTTATTATAGATTTTATCATATTGGAGCAATGCAAAAGGTTAAAGAGTATCCAATATCTCGCGATTGCACGCTGAATTGAGACATTAATATTGTTCATAATTAGTTTCCTTGCCTTTCCCCTACCTTATCAGGATATCTTATGCTTCCCTTCACTTTCTTCCAGTTTTCGCACGTCTTCTTCCTTTCTTAACCATCAGATAAAACTTTAACACTTTCACTTAATCTGTTTCTTGAACTAAGTATATGCATCCCACTCAATTTACTATGTAGGACACCCTGTAGAGTGACTTTTCTATACACAGCGTTGTGACGGATACTTTCATTTCAGTACCTAAATACAGATACATTATATCTAGATGCATTTTTACATAAATTTGTTTCATTGTATCTAGATACAGATACAGTTTCATCTTAATGTTTCTTACGAGGTTATTGAAACAGTCTTTGCAGATTTTTCCTTTTTCAGTTTCACTAAAATGTATCGTTCGCCTAAATTCATCTTCGAGTCTCTTCAATTATTCTCCTTGGATTCTTAATTTCTAACTTGAGGGACAGTTTCGAATCGAAAAGGGACTATCAAGATCGGAATTGGCTGTACGTCGGTTTTCGGCGACCGTAATCGAATAATGTCACTACCCCGCTATCTGGTACAAAGTTAATATTTGAAGTTTAGCAATTCTGGCAGACAAATAACGAAATCAAGATGAAAACAAGCTTACAATATCAATCATTCGATAAATTTCATATTTCTGTAGTTATCTTCGAATTTGCAAATTCAACCTGACAATTTGACACTCTCCCATACTTTCCTTTTTCCCTATTAATCTGTTCACAAATTTCATACGCTAAAACCTGAAAATATATTTCCATTTTCTTTTTATGTCACTTTTCCCTTTATTAACGGCCTGGACTACGTCTCCCATGTGCGTAATAATATTTTAATTAAATTTTTAAGTGCGGAATAGCACTTGTAACTATTACTACTTTTTTTCTTTTGTAGTACATGTTTTTGTTTTGTTTCTTTAGTGTTCGTTTTATCTACGCTACTTGACGAATCTGATATAGTCGCAGCACTATCATAGAGTATTTACATTATGGTCGGTGTTTCTTGTGTGAGAACTCAGGTCTAGCCTGGTTAACTAATCGCACGGATTAAAATCAAGTAACGATTAGTGTCTGTGCCTGTGTCTGGTGAAGTTATGTAGGGTCCTTAAAAAAAAAAAAAAAAAAAAAAAAAAAAAAAAAAAAATATCACACACGTACATTGGACATCTAGGGATAATGTAATTCGTACTTACCAACATACCTATTGATGGGCACAATAGCCAACGCTATCAGGAAAGAGGAAAACAAAAAAAATCATTATAATAATTCCTGTAATTTTATTAAATGGAGTTTATTGTGTAAGTGTTTCTTTGGCTTTGCGTTTGGGTTGAATACGAGTGGGTTGTGATAACGTGGTGTGTTTCTGTGAAGAAGGAGTTTTGTGTTTTTTAATTGTATTTATGGTGTTTCTTTGTTCCTGAGGTCGTGTTTGTGAGGTTGCTTGGGTTTTTGGTGGAGATATTGCAGTATTTTGTGAGCCTGTGGTGCTGTTACGGTTTTTGCGTTTCGGTTGTATACGAGTGGGTTGTTTCTGAGAAGAAGGAGTATTGTGTTTTTTAACTTATTATTATTATTATTATTATTATTACTTAGTCATAGTTGTGTCGTACATTTTTGCTGTCGCATACCATAATATAATGATGTGATTTTTAGACACATGTTGGTACAACAACGATCTCAAGATAGTGACATGCATCCGCCTTCTGACGTACGAAGTTGTCACTGGCGATTGGAAAGTGGCATCGGTAGCGACTCAAATTTGAGTAAAAAGCGTGATATTGGTTTCATGAGAAAATCAACATTATTGAGACGGTTATGGGGTTCGTATAAGCCACTTTCGGAGCGAACTTCGCGATTTTCAAGTTCTTTTTATGATTGGCACTACGGAAAATCAAACGCCAGCTTGAACTCCAATACTTCTTCTCCTGAGCATGTAAAGTGCAAATGCAAATGTGGAAGCGAGGAGTTCAAAACGCCCCCTGTACCCCAAAAGGTCGTTAACACAAAATTACAACCCCAAGCTTCAGAACAGAAAATTCCGCCAGAAGAGTCTGCCAAATTGAAGTCACATTTTAGCTCTAGTCGATCACGGAAAACATGCCCTAGTTCATCATCATTGGAAAATCCAACAAGTTCCAACAATAGCAGGTCGAGCACAACGAAAAACACCAGCGTTACCGAGGCTGACTCAGAAAACTGTAGCACTACAACCACGGACAATTCTGATTCAGCCTACACCAACACTAATACTAACTTCACTGCCGCTTCAACCGATAACTCAACAGCGTACACAAGCGTATTTTCCGATCAGTTCATTGAAGAAAATGGAAATGTTGGCGAAACCGAATGTCAAAATATACCGCAAGTGAACAATAAGTTACTTCCTGAGGGATTAAATGATAATTCCACTCAGACTGCAACCACCACAAATTTAAATGTGATTTCTAACATTCAATTGAGCCAATCAACGCTAAACCTAATATTCAATCAGGTCATGCAAGACGCTCGAAAATCGTCGCACACTGACATTAATATAAGCGCAGTCAGTAGTCGTGACGTACCTACAGCAGAACCTCATGTTATCCAAGTCAAACAGGTGCCCAGCTTTTATTTAAAAACGGAAGAAGATAAAGTTGTCAACGCAGATCACCATCGGATCTTAAAATGCATGGTTAGCACTGCGCGAACTGATTTGTATGGAAAAAGCTCTGAAGTGCAAGGAACTGTTGTACCTAGATATTCAGCTGTACCCCGTACCACGTCGATGGAAGTCAACACTTCTTCGGCCGACTCGACCGACAAGGAAGACAATATTAGTTTAGTAGACAGCCTGGAAGGGTCATGTTCTCCGTATACAGATATGAATCTTAACAGCAGGTTTGATGATAAACCAGTCAGAGGAGACATTTCGCCTTTGTTACCAGACAATAGCATTAAATCCAATAAATATGAAAAGGCGTCGGTTTTCTTCATACCAATAGAGACTAATTCGAATACCGAAGTTAAGCCGGTGGCAGACCATCTACCGGATAAAGTGAGGGAACGGTTGTCTAATCGGCAGATTAGGCGTCAACAAAAGTGTCGCGAAACAAAGGACTCGGCAAAATCGGACAGCAATTACGTTAGTGCAAGTGATAATGGTCATCAGATGAACCTCGACAATAGTAAGCAAAGGTTATTAAATTCATTGCCCGACATTAACTCCAATAAGTGCAAGAAAAAAACCAAACCGCTACTGCCAAATATAGAATCAATGAAAAAAACGAAATGTAAAACCAGTCCAAAAAGTGAAGGTTTAGAAAAACCCAAGGAAAGGTCAAAGCAGAATAAGAAAAAAATCGGAAAACCTCAGTCAGACCAACACGAGAAACCGCCACACTGGATTTCAAAAACGCAACACACCGTTTTGGAACAGCTATCGCCGTTGTACATCACCAAGCGAGATTACGCCTACAGCGTTGTCCCCAATCGAATTTACCATAAGACTGAATTCACGAACTCAAATAAGCACATTGAAATTTTGGAGATTGTAGACTGCATCGAACCTTTGTCTCATCGCGAAAGTTCCCGACGACACCCCAAGACGAAACACTCCAAAATCCCGGTTTTGGTACAGTCGAAATTGCCAAGCATCTCCAAAAGTGTTAAAAATGAAAAGCCGAGATTTTTGGATTTCGAACAAGGCCAAGAAGATGACCCCAAAATTGACCAGCTAATTGCCAACATATTAATAGACGCTTTGAATAAGAACGAACCGCAAAGTTCACCCGAAGACAAAGCGAGCGACCACAAAGTCGAGAAACGTCCACCGGTGACCCCGCCCGCTCCTCTTCGACAATCCAATAAGTATCAACAGATATTTGAGGCGATCCCAGAGGAGCGCGCTTCGTTGAAATCCTCGTCTGAGGATGCTTCCGATCCAACTAAGCGTACCGAGAAAGAAGAGCGAAAACAGGGAGCAAGTGGAGAGAATGAGTCGTCCGTACCAAAAGGTTGGGTTACATTCTACACGGTTCCTAAAGGTGAAGACAGCACTTCTGAAGAAGGTACTAGTCTTTCACAAAAGTATCTGAAACTATAGTTGCACATAATTACAGAGCACTGAGTTCAATCAGTACCCAATTAGTTCAATTTTATTTAGGAAGGACGCATAAGTTGGTTGCTGATAGAACCGATTGTAAAGAAAATTTGAAATGCGACTACAACCAACACCTAAATTATACTATGGCCAGCCCTGATGATACGAAAGCACAGAATGTAGAGCAAAAGCTTAATCGTCAAATACATGTAGTTCCTTCAGTTATTCGTGATAGTTTCGATACGTGGAGTAGTAGCGATCAAGAAAAACATACGAAAATTCTATATCCTTTGCCATCGATTTATAAAAATCAACCGCAGAAAAAGAGCAGAGCGAGAAATTCACATTCATTCCCATCGAACAAATCAACATCTGGTAGGTATTTGTACAGGACACAAACAGAAACCCCCATAATTTTGCGTAGGTGAATGGACGGTGACCGTGAGCGGTGTAACGAGCGGACGAGACTTTGCACCCGATTTGGAAATGCGTCTCACATTTCCCCACAACAAAAAATCACTTCCAGATGACTCTGCTGCAAAAAAAAATGTTAGAAAGAAAGGTATTATACCTTTTCTTCAACTTTGTTAACCTACCAATAGGTGATTCTAGGCGCACCGGAGACTAATAAACATTCTGGGCAACTACCACACCTAAAGCAGAGAGGTGCCAAAACTACCAGGGTAATCTGAGGTAATTCATTTTAGCGATCATCCCAAATTGTTTTTCTAGTTGTGTGAAAGCGGCCATTTTGGATCAAACATTAGAGATTTTTCTATTGTGGAACCAAGACAAACACGTACAAGTACTAGAAGGCTTCTCTTAAATAGACCAAGAGGACATCTGTCACCTGGTGATTATCTAGAAATAGATACGGATAATAGGTATTGTCCAAAAGTACTAATTTTATTCGTCTTTATGGCGCATAGGGTTATTGTGTGTATTAATAGCATTCTTCTTACAGTCATATGGCGGAGATTCTTAGAAGAATTCCCGAATTATTGAAAGTCACCGGAAATGCTATTAGTCCTGAGCGCAAACCGCGAGCAGCCACCATGAGTGAAAAAGACCTTACTAAGCATGTGTACAGAAATTCGTAAATGTTATAAGTATTTGTAATTTCATATGAAATGTTTAATAAATGCATCTTAGTACCTGCCACACAAACTTTCTTATTGTGTCCAGCCATGTCAATGATACTATATCTGGAGAATTTTGACAGCAAAATCAATTTTTTCATCCACTTTACAGAGGAAGAGAGATAACAAACTGGGGAACTACCTATATTTTGGATTTCGTTGAATCTTTTAGAGCTTCTAACACAAATTTTACGTCATTTTGCCATAGCAAACTTACGACTAATATTTTAAATGATCAGTTGCGAATGGTGGACGAAAATGAAAGCAAATGCGAAATGTAGCAGAAGACGTTTCTGGGGCTCCCTCTTAGCATTCACCATCACTAAAGCCGCTTGGTGTAAAAAGAAAACCTGGGAAGCGATGTAGACCTCTGTAATCGCAGTCTGTTGGATCAATACTTTCAGTAAGTAACTATTTTTCATTAAAAGACGGCGCTGTGTTCTAGCTTCCAGCTCATGCTCCTCATTCCCAATTTTAAAACAAGTCACAGCATTTTTCATTAAATAAATGAGTGTGTAGGTAATAATTTCAAACATCGACATTCAAATTCGCTTCGAATTGAGAGCCTGCACTTTGAAATCAAACTGAAAACTCAACAATTCCCTTAATCTCAGTTTATTCTCCAATTTCCTTCTATAAATTCTTACTCTAGGATCCATAGAGGCAAATCAGTGTGGAATTCTGGTATACAACTTCTTTGAATTCATGGAACTATTTTGGAATTCTTATAGAATTTATGAAATTGGTAGCTCGAAAACTAGTACCTTTACTATGCTACTACTAGTGATTTTACCAAACATTCGGAGATCGTGGAGGACGCCGAGGAGGGTTTTTCTGCTGTGGTGCGATTAAAAGTGATAACTTCGAGACGCCCTCTGGTTTTCGCGTTTTGCAACTTGGACGTCCTACGGAGATGAAACCGTCGGTAGGTTGAGGGGAGGAAACGGCACAAGATCCGCGAACGGGCCTGCTTCCGAGTTTTTGTTTTCTTTACCGTTTAGAACGTGAAGGTGTACGGTTTATAATTAATTTTGCGCCTATTTTAAAAGTGAGAGTCTCGAGAAAGGTCTCAAAAGTTGAATTATTTTGCAGTTTTGGAAGTCATGGAATTCTGGAATTTTTTTACACTTTTGGAATTCTGGTGTACTATTTTTGCTCAGCGCACCATTCATAGGAAATTAAACTGAAAACTTAGCAGTTACCTTCATTTTCGTTCAAATAAGTTCGAGTTGTGAGTAGGGAATGCAATACCGGGATTGCGGGATCCCGAAATACCGGGATCCCGAAATACCGGGATCCCGCAGCAGTTTTGCGAGATTAATCCCGCACATAAATGGAGCGGGATCCCGCGGGATTTGCAGGACTGAGGAATTTGTCGACCAAGGGAACGACTCTGTTTACTTTGTTAATGAAACTGACAACGGCGAATTATTTTTTAAATAATTGTTAAACTTTTTTCGTTAAAAATGTACAATGATTTTTGAGGCACCTTAGAAGACTTTTTGTGCTTTACAGGTAAGGTTTTTTTGAGGTCTAAGTTAGGCCGAAAGTACTTTTTTGTTAAATATTGTGATAATTAGCGATTTATTTTAATACAGAAGTTAACCGCACAGAATTGCTTATTTGACAATTTATTTAAAGTTTTGCGAGATCCCGCAAATTCCGGGATCCCGCGGGATTAACATCTAACAATCCCGCAAATACCGGGATTGAGATTTTCCTGCGGGATTGCATTCCCTACTAGAAACCAATTTCGAAAGAAAATTCAAAGGGCTGTAACTTTTGAACTAGTAGCCCAATCTTGGAACTGTTTGAAATTATGGATTCTACAGGCCACATTCTATAAGAAACATTTTTTCCGGGTCGATCTGAGACAATTTTTTTTGAGGGCCTCAAAAAAAGGCAGTGTATAACCTTCCTTTTTTACCAAAAATCGACTACACCAAAATTTCTCGGGAAAACACATTTTCTTATTAATTTTGGTGCGTAGAATCCAAAACAATTCGTACTTTTTCGATCAGACTTCTCAATCAAAAGTTATAGACTAGAAACCAATTTCGAAAAAAAATTCAAAGGGCTGTAACTTGTGAACTAGTAGCCCAATCTTGGAACTGTTTGAAATTATGGATTCTACAGGCCACATTCTATAAGAAAATTTTTTTCCGGGTCGATCTGAGACAATTTTTTTTAGGGCCTCAAAAAAAGGCAGTGTACAACCTTCCTTTTTTACCAAAAATCGACTGCACCAAAATTTCTCGGGAAAACACTTTTTCTTATTAATTTTGGTGCGTAGAATCCTAAACAATTCGTACTTTTTCGATCAGACTTCTCAATCAAAAGTTATAGACTAGAAACCAATTTCGAAAGAAAATTCAAAGGGCTGTAACTTTTGAACTAGTTGCCCAATCTAGGAACTGTTTGAAATTATGGATTCTACAGGCCACATTCTATAAGAAAATTTTTTTCCGGGTGGATCTGAGACAATTTTTTTTTCGGGGTTCAAAAAAAAGCAGTGTATAACCTTCCTTTTTTTAAAAAAAATCGACTGCACCAAAATTTCTGGGGAAAACACTTTTTCCTATTAATTTTGGTGCGTAGAATCCAAAACAATTCGTACTTTTTCGATCAGACTTCTCAATCAAAAGTTATAGACTAGAAAAGAAACCAATTTCGAAAAAAAATTCAAAGGGCTGTAACTTTTGAACTAGTAGCCCAATCTTGGAACTGTTTGAAATTATGGATTCTACAGGCCACATTCTATAAGAAAACTTCGATCGGTCGATCTGAGACAATGTTTTTTGAGGGCCTCAAAAAAAGGCAGTGACAACCTTCCTTTTTTACCAAAAATCGACTGCACCAAAATTTCTCGGGAAAACACTTTTTCTTATTAATTTTGGTGCGTAGAATAATCCAAAACAATTCGACTTCTTAATACAAAGTTATAGACTAGAAACCAATTTCGAAAGAAAATTCAAAGGCCTGTAACTTTTGAACTAGTAGCCCAATCTTGGAACTGTTTGAAATTATGGATTCTACAGGCCACATTCTATAAGAAAATTTTTTTTCCGGGTCGATTGAGACAATCTTTTTTGAGGGCCTCAAAAAAAGACAGTGTACACAACCTTCCTTTT